CAAGTAAAAAGGTATCTATAAGATTTTATGTTGATATTACAATTAATGTGGTATATTAATTACAGTGATATTATAATTTATATTATCTTAAAACTGTTAAGGAGGCGGTGTTTCTGAAGTTTTAGCAAAAACAATTGCAGCCCCAATTGAAAAAGTGAAATTGAAGCTGTTCATTGATCCTAATAGGATTACTACATCTTATACAAGCAATTAGATATTTAGACTATAATTAGGAATTTTGGATTGTTTCAAGAGAGTGTTTGTATATGAGGGTGTTCTTTGTTTATAGCGAATTGGCCATAGTCATCGGATGCTTCCCTACATAAGCTATTAATTATTTTGTGAGGGATGCTCATAACAGATAATTCTTAGGTGGTGTTGATCCCCAAAAAAGATCAGGCAGGTTTTAATTACAAGTAATTAGATTCTTTGTTGGTTGATTGCCATGTGGTTGTATTGCAGGAAGTGTTGGATTATTAGTTGCGCATCATCTTGATTTCAGTAGAACAAGATTAGCAGCAGATATCAGAAAGGGAGCAGATGAAAGAAAATTTAAAGGATTGGTGAGTTGCTTCTGATAAATTATCAAAACCGATGGTTTCACAGTAATCTATTAAGGATTTGGCATCTACGAAATTTAAATGTCTAGTTTTTAAGAACACATTGAGCAAAACTAGGGGTATAATTCAACAAATGCCATTATGTATTAAATTATATATCAATTAATCATAGATAATGTTAAAAAAAATGTAAGAAAAATTTTGTATCAAAGTCCAAGATCTCTTGCTCCTTTAGTTAAAGTTTCACTTTGGAACAAAAATATAAGATTCTCCATTTAATTTATAATACATAATATACTCGATTGATTGGATAAAATCCAGTATTGAATCAGATGAAACATTGAAACCTTTGATTACAATATCAGATTATACTCATAGCGCAAATTAATCAAAGAGTCAAATATTTTGCAATAAGCAAGTTTCAATTAATGTCATTGCAACTTACTAAGTCATAATAAATAAAGATGTGAAAAGGCATTATAATGATGGAATAGTTAATTAAATGAAGAAACAAATATTCAATTCATTTTTTAAATCTAGATATTTCTAGCAGATATAAGCATCAGTGATAATAAATTAATGTTTGGTGACTATGAACCTGCCAAAGTAACGCCTTATCCCTAATATTAAGATTTTTCATAATTACAAAAAAATAAATCTTATGAATCTCTGGCCTTCATCAGACCAACATTATAAATGTACTTTTAATCAATTTCAAATAAAAATAATGACTAGAATGTCATAACACATAGCATCTCAGGTTTCCTGAGTAGAGATGAGGATAAATCTTCCTAATGAGGGCTGATTTATTACATTCCTGTTGGCGTTGTGATTGGATTACAGTGGAATTGCAGAAAAACGAAAGATATCTTTTTGCTGTTAAATCAAAACTGGCTTAAAAATTAATACCTCAACTATTACGAAATAAATGTTATTGGAATAGCATAAATTACTTAAAATAGCACATATTCCAATGCTTGGATTGACAGTCTAACAACCACTATTTGAAACATACGTGGAAGAAACAACAAGTGCATACACAGTGTTATGAGAAGGCTAGCAAGAAAGCTGAAAGAGTTAGGAGATATTTGGTATATTTAATTGTTGAATACTAACTATTTGGAAATAGAAAACTAACATCATTTGTTATTCATTAAGTAGTGTGATTTTTTTGCGAATGCATAAAGAATTAGATAAGTTACACAAAAAAGAAATAGCAATTTATTAATGAGTATTGATTATAGGAGGAGTGGCTGATATATCAAGTTATAAAGAGAAGATTGAATGCTGTGGCTGGAAGATTTATAACATTTAATCACAAAAAAGGCTATTGTTATTCAACAATTATTGGATGCTTCTATCTAGGCCCAAATAGTGATTTTGAAAAACAAACTCTCAAGTCAGGTGATCATTTTCTTGTATCTTGGAGAGCTTCTCATTTGAATAATATTATAACCCTAAATAAGTATTTTGGAAAAATAATATGAATTCCCGAATACCTTCATTCATATCAGAAAACTCTTTTTCATACTTTTGAACTCAAAAATTTATCATATCATTTTTATATCGATGAAATTGATAGATGTATATGATTCATAATTTTATACAGTAAATATCATTTCTGGAACTGATTATATTAATAAATTATGAAAAAGTGATTTAATCTTAATTTTGAATCTCAAAATGCTTTTAAGAATAATCTTTAAATCCTGATCAAATAT